CTACCCGGTATTCTAACATCAAATATTAATGTGTAAATATCTCAGTCAAATGTTGACCGTTTTACAAAGTGAGACAACCAGTGACATTGCATGGACCGGTGCTACAGCCCTACCTATGATCGGATCCGGTTGGCACCTCCTTTTCTGGCCCACTATATTTCGGCCCATCCATCTCTATTGTACCTAATAATCCCTCGGCCCACTCGTCTCCATTGTATACTCCATTTACTATATTCAGCCCATCCCTTTCCATCTGGTATACACTACACTCGGCCCATCCCTTTCAATCAGGTACACACTACCATCGGCCCATCCCTTTCAATTGGCTACACACTACACTTGGTTCACCTGTATATAGGTACAATTTCAGCCATGGGCCCAGTGGGATGGCCCATCTGCCTTGGTACATTGTCACCCTTGGCTGCCCGTCTGAGACAGTTTAGTTCACTGAAGGGGCTCTCATAATCATCAAAATACTCGTCTACATGGAATCCACAGCTCAAACCGGTTATCAGACAGCAAGAGAAGGTCCCGTTACCCTGGACCCTGGAATAACCCAGCATCATATATTACTCTTACTGCATACCCCAAGATTCCTGTACTTACCCGCATCAGCAGACCGAGTACGCATTAGCCTACCTCAGCACGGACTTATACATTTTTGAAACTGAGACAAAGTTGTCTTGTCTTCAAACCAATTGCATGTCTAAAACAGCCGGCGGGAACAGCGGACTGATGGGGGTACACCTCACATCAGGGCATTCATGAATTGGGAGATGTGTTAGGACATGGCTCGATCGAGTTTGAAGTCGCTGTAAGATTTGTTGCGCAGCATCAGGACTTCATGACTCTCATCAGCAAGGAGAGTAAAACAGTTGACGGCCTGAAATAAACAAGGCATTAGAGATATTGAAATAAATAAAGACATTAGAGAACTCACCAGGCGGTGAGAGAGAAAGTGTTCAAGGCACTTATATAAAGATGCCCAGCGTGTTCGCACCCAAGCTAAGATATCGCGAACGGGGATGCCCTCTTCCTTGCAACACTTTTGGAAGAAGGCTCTGGCTTGCGGCGATTTGCGAATCTATTATATTCATATTAGAAAACAACTCAAAAACAAGAAAAGGAGCTCACCTGTTCAATAAGAGCAAGTGCTTTGCCGACGGCATCTGCCACATCAAAACCGTCCTCAGTAATGGCTTCAGGATCACATTCTAATGTGGCCAGCTGTTGAGTTAAACTGTCAATGTCAGCATCATCACCGTTGTCTATAGCACGACAGATCTTCTTGAGTAAGGTGGCTTGAGGGGTAGGCACAACCGCATCAACGAAGTGCCGCACAGCAAGGTTGAGGATGTGCTCTTGACACCGAATGAGGTGGTCACCTGGTAGCCAATCATTGCCGCCCTCATTTAACACCTGTCCGACTTCTTTCATGGCAGTGTCGTTGCTTGAGGCATTATCCGAAGTCATCCAGCCAACCTGCAAAGTAAGGTCAATAAAATGGCATAAGTAAATTTAAAAAAAACTTACCTTCTTGTGAATCTCATACCTATCTATGGTCTCAATGAGTATGCGGGCAATATTCTGGCCACTATGGTTGCCTTCGATATAACTGAAATCAAGCTGCTCATGCATCAGCAGCCACTCTTGTGGCTTATCAGGGGGGTTCCAGATGTAATGGCCAGTGACAGAAAAGAAAGGATCCCCGATGATAGATGTCCATGAGTCGAACGTCATGGACACTGCACTGTCGACATGCTACCAAAACTGCATCAACAATAGTTAATAATGTGAATAGAATAAACTTACAGCAAGGCGCTCCTTGATCTTTTCAACGATAGTATTTGCACGAGACTTGATGGTATCAGTGAGTTTGGTGCGGTGCGGGATATCTTTCTCAGATAGAGTTGAACAGGTGTACAACAGCAAACATTGGAAAGTCGGTTTATCAACCAACTGGATTGCCTGCCATAATGTCATTAAACAGCAATGCAAATAACAAAATTAAAAAATGCACCTCATCTTCTGTCACGATAAGCTCCATTATGTACTCCAATAACCTGTTACAAGAACATCTAGATGCTTGGGCCCCTACTATTTTTCTCCTAATCCTCCTCGTATCTGCCCTCGCATCATACCCTTACCCCGACCTTACCCTTGTCATCCTTGTCATCCTCGCATTCCCTTTCGCCCTCTACCTGTCGCTTCAGCAGAGCCAGTACATCTGGCCAGACCCTTTCGCTGACGAAGCATACCCATGCTCCGTTTCACCACCTGACTGATCCTGTGGATAGTCCCCTTGCCCTTACCGTCTGGACGGTAACCTATGACACGATGCACGACGCATCCCCTTTGCCCTATTCCCTTTCTTGATCTCTGACTCGGTGCGCAGTCACACATGCGACTTATACTTAGATCCGCAGCTGCACGATCGTGCCTCTGCGCGTTTCACTTCTTATTTCGATCTTTGACTCACTTTCTTATCAAGCACATTCTACCTCGACCAAACGTGCCTTCCTGTTATGGTTATACCCTTTACCAATTGCCTCTCCCGGTAGTACGAGTTATCACCCACTAATACGTCTCCTGTCCTCTATATAAACTCGCTACCATGTACTATATTCCCTAACTTGAATCTACTTGGTTCTTGACCTCCTACTCTCATCAGAGTGATCCTTCTGCCTCGCCAGCAGTCTATATTCTATCTTCTTATCTGCTCATCGCGGATAAGCCTATAGTCTTGACCTTTACTCATCGACTTCGTCGACGAGCAAAGCCCCTGTTAACTAGTCGGACTTCTGTCCTTCTAATTAATGACGATCCTTACGATTAACCTTCGGGTGTCGTAAGCCTAGGCCGATATAGCTTATCATCTCGCACCCGCATGACATAAGCTACCCGATTTGGACATAGGCGTCAAATCGTACTTGCCGAAGACCCGCCAAGTACGACCCCTAACCTTGGGCTAGCCCAAGGACGTCCTCGACCGTTGACGACACACGCTCTGTTTGAGCGTCGCCAACAGATACCACCCAAGTTGTAACATAACCCATCCTTCGTGAATACAGCAGGTTTTGAAACAAGATTGTGATCAAGAGTTTGTTGTGTTGCAGTGAGGTCTTCACCGGGTGGGATTGCGCAAGAATGCATGGTGATGCCCACAGCATTGCAATGTGCCTTGTACACTTGAAAATGGGTGCGTCTGTGGCGAACAATGTGTGTTCGTAGCATTGAGGTGCCTCCACAAAACATATGCTTGTGTGCTGGTTCACCAGTGTCCCTTATCCAAAATCAAAATTGAATTTAAATTAAAAACAAATGAAAACTTACTTGCACAGTGTACAGACCCATCCCTCAGGGATACGAGTGAATATAGTCCGGATGTCTGCTGTACAATCACTTTTTGAGACCTAAATGCAAGTGTCAGTGAAGGAAGACAATGATGAATATACGACATACCATTTGACTCGCAGTTTGACTCTCAGCCTCGTCATCATCATCATCAAGCTGGGGGATTAGCTCATCAGATGATGATTCTCCTGGATCAGGAGCAGCCAAAAGGAGATCTTCATCAGCCATATCTTTATCATCAGAGTCCAAAGGTGATATGAATCGCATAGCAACTTTTTTAGATGCTGGGTGCTCTTTAGCACTAGATGATGCGCATGCACACTTCCTTGTGCCTGAGGACAAAGCAACATTGTCAGCATCATGGATGCAAGCTGAGGGCTTTGAAGGGCAGCCAGAGCGCCGAGAGCCTGCAGTGACAGTTGCTGGTGTATGTCCGGTCTTGAGTAGAACTGAGAAGGCATTTTTCTTGGGTTCCATTGAGGGCACATTGTCGTCAGGGCTGTTTGATGGAACTGGTGGCAAGGGCACATCGTCATCAGGATCGTTGTAGAACGTGATCTCAGATGCATCCTTGAGGGTGCTATTAGCATTGAGAGCGCAGGAGTCTGACATTTTCAGGGAGACAACTCACAGTTTCATTGTCACGACCTTGTTTTGTACACAGGGCAAGGAGAACACATCTGCGCACCACAGAATACTGGTCTCCTAGGAGATCAGTCACAGCAAAAAGCCTGTGGAGGATCATAGTGGCCTAGGAAGATGTAGTTAAACATATGTCAGTTGATTAGATGCTTCAGAGTTGAATTAGTTAGTACTCACCTTGAAAAAGGCTAAAGGCAGCCTGATAATACAAATTCTGGTCGAAGTCGAAGGGTCGAAGTCGAAGGGTCGAAGTCGAAGGGTCGAAGTCGAAGGTAGTGCAAATCCCGAAGATCGATTGATCAGACGACGACGACATTGAAGTAAATGATGGCGAAGCCAACAGTTCGGAACGGTTCGGGTGTCCCAAACCAGAACGGAACCGTTCCGGATGACCTAGAACCGAGAACCGATTTTCGGTCCGGTTCTGGCTGGTGAGAGAACCACGGACCGAACCACAGAGAACCGGACCAAAAGTCCGGTTCGAACCGTGGTTCTGGACCGGACCGCGGCAGCACTACATAGAGTACACTCTCAATAGGACAAAAATTGGACACAAAAAAAAAAAACGAAGCAACAGGAATTGAAAGTTGATACCGGAAGAGTCGAACGGCCAATCATCTCCCATGATGATATTCTTGTCATTTTCGATCGGTGGTCAGTAGGTACGATGTCGCGTGAATCTATAGAATCGACCATGATCACATTATCTTCCGCGTAAAAGGGATACCATTTTACTCTTTGGGATGCCCTTAGCCAGAAGATTTTATTAAACGCGTTTCCGAAGCCGTTACCACAACAAACTAGCTTGTGCGCCAGGGTGACCCCCTAAGCACAAGTACCGTTGTAGACGATTGTGATCTCGAGACATCATCAATCTTTGTCTCTGGCTACCTCTTGAACAATTAAATTATGCCAGCCCACCGCCTCACTGAAATTTGTACGATTTTTTTCGTGATTTCATTAAATTCTTCTGGGGTATTGACCATCAGTGACAGGTGAAAGTACTAGCTGATGTTCAAAAGTGGACAGCTGTCAGCACCAGCACTGGAATCCATATCTCGTTTAATCACACAATAGTATAATATCATGATACCTGGTGTATGTAACTGCTACAGCAACACAATTTAAAGGAAGCTCATGGTGTGATATCGTCGCAACCCGTCTCCATTGACGCTCAATCATAATCACAACACACCCACCATCGTGGTGCATACCCGATCAACTCTGTCATGATATCCATCTGTCCCTGCGTAGGACGTTCTTTGAACGATTCATCTTGTTCAGAACACACAGCAAACACCGGAACGGTGTCAATTTGAACGGCCCTGATGTCGTCATCGCCGGATTTGAAATATTTAGCCATGAACGCCTCAAACCACAGGGGAGGCACCGAGTCATCCTTGGGATTGAAACAATATTTGAAATCGAACGACCAGAAACCCGACCGAGCTGAAATGAGCTCTCGTGCTCGTACCATGGCGTGATGCTTGTAACATTTGTGATCGCGTTCAAGTAACACTTCTGGACATTCTCTTTCCGCGAAACGAATGAGCCAGTCATGGGGGATTGCATATCCATAGTACTGGACATAAGGACGGCCTATGATCGGGTTGATGTGCAACTGCTTTGGTGGACGGATAAGTTCAAATGGCTGGTGCTCAAGTTGTTGTCTGACGAGTTGTGTCCTGAAAGTCCCAGTTTCTTGGACCGTAGTGGTCTTCAAGTCGTTAGAGTGACAATCACGACGATGAGGGAAGATATTTATCATTGAGGCTTTGAACAACTTGGAAAGAGCGGAAGGCATGTTCGTTATGGAGATGCAATGACAAGTCTCTTCAGCCTTATATAAGGTAGAGAACAAAGGGGACTGATGTGGCCCGTTACATTCATGGTTGTACAGTGGAGCAGTGAGTTTTGGACAAAAGGTCACAGCTAACAATGTGGAAATCCAACTAGTAGGGATGCAGTTTGTTAGAGCTGACGACCACTGGTGAACTCTCACTAAAATTCAAACCCGCAGTTGTTTTAGTAGGACCAAAAACGATGCGCGAGCCGGTGAATCTACACTGGACCATGCCTTTGCGCACATGCGCTACCTTGATGGCGGAAACCTCCTTGCTCTGGTACGTGCGTATACTGCACAACCTTTATGACGGTGTTGCAGCACACTGGCAAAATTAATTGTAGCACTCGGATGAACGTGGTGTGATATATACAAACACTCACTCGAAGAACTCTTGATCTCAATCGAGGTGTGATAGAGCGGATACGCTCGTTCTATGCTGCTGCACTATGCAGCACACGTAAGATAATAAACACGCATGAAATCAAGGAGAAAGTTTTGTTAATGTGTGGACATTGAATTCCTGTTTAGAAAGTGAGATAGTTTGTACAAGTCAAGAAACGTTACGTGTTTGCGGTGCAAACAGTATTAACACATGGCGATACAGAAACATGGTAAACAAACAAGTCTGGCCGTGTTAATAAATTACCATGTCAGATAAGAGAACAAGGATGAACGGGATAGAAGAAACAACCCCAAAGATGGACAGAGATGGACGATGGAATAAATAGGTGCATCCAGCGGATGACTGACTTGATTCACAAAGGTGACAGGGAGTTTATGATGCTTCTCCAACAAGGCTAGTGAATAACAGAAAAGAAATCATTATGAACGCAAATTCAACAGGTCATAATCCAACCGTAAATGAGGAAATGGGAGCTGTGAAAATAGATAGCAATGATAATTTGCGAATGTTGAATTATGATGCCCAATACTGATGAATCCATGCCTTGCGGTTAATATCAAAAACCGACAACAAGTGGATAGATTGCAGCGCGGTCGTCCAGCCGGGTTGAGTGGTAGATACAAGGGAGTCTGTTCTTCATGTTGATACAACAGGGATTCCGCATGATTGATGAAGAAAGAATGCGTCATAGAAAGTGCGTTACACGTAAAGGAACCAATCGTTGGGGATGGGAAAGATAAATCAAGTGCTTGCGAGGTCGATACTAGCACCGAGGACGCCGCCTCTATCATGATGGATGTCAGTAAAACCACTGATGGTGCCATGAGTGCCTTGGTAGTGGTGCCGTTGCTGCTCCTCTTCAAAGAGCTTTCTGCCGACGTCCGCACGCAGGTTAGCACTTGGACCAGATTTGAGAGATACTGCTGCACGTGGTGCGGCCGTAAAGGCAGGGGAGGGAGAGACATTGATAAAGTCATTGAGATTGAATGGGACATTGCCCGGAGTGGGTGGGGCGTGAAGGCTGTTTGATGGCGAGCCCGAATGACCGTTCGAAGTATCACTACGCCTAGAAGGTGAAGGTGGAGATGGCAACAATGATGAGGATTCAGCACCCAAAGTAGCGGTGGGTGGAATAACTATTTGCTCTAAAGATGGCGCAGGCGCGAGAGATCCAGAGGGAGCGGCATCTAATCGCAATGGCTGGCTCAAAGGCTGCGTACTATCTTGGCTAGAAGATAAAGTCTCTGACGTAAAGCCGCATTCTGATCTCAGCGAGCTTCTATTGTCCTGGCCTGGAAAAAGGACCTTTCCCTTAGTAAGGAGAGATGTGGAACCGCTTCCAAGGGCTCTGTAGGCTGTAATATCCTGAGTATCCCTGTCCCGGGTGGTTGTAGGGCGTACAGGCGACGGTGATGTATGTAGATAAAGCATGAGATTGGCTGCCTCTTCGTCATCTGCGCGAGGCGTCGAATAGATGTTGTCACCCAAGTTACGGGGTGGAGTAGCTGCCCGAGGCATGCTAAATGATGACTCGGCTGATGGCAGCAGCGAGGTTGCTGCTGTCGTTGTGCGAGCAGAACTTTGTGCATATTGCGACAGAGACTGAAACGAACTCGCATCAGACGCGGTGGAGAGCGTGGACCGCGGAGACGACACGCTAGCTACGGAAGGACGCGACTGGAGAAGCGATGTCAAGGTGGCCACAGCCTGCCTCTCTACATCCGCCGAGTCTGCCACGGATGCCTTTTGCTTGCCCTTGTCGCCCCGTTTGGGTTTAGACCGAGTAGTATCCTCTTTGCGGCTACGGGACTGTGCGCGGGTGCTCTCTGCTATGCTGCGTACAGTAGACGCACGGTCCGATCGCCGGGACCGAGATCCGGCAGTCGAGCGAGCGGCTGCCTGGACAGGAGGGTCTGTTGAGTTGCGAACTGTCCGAGCTTGTTTTGACGGAGGAGGTCCAAGGAGGGTGGTGAACAGGCTCTGAGTCGCGTTGGGGCTAGAACCTGTCACAGTCGTGGGATAGTGGGAACGAGGAACGGATGGAGCAGAAGTCGCAGATACGGCGGGAGGAGCCATAGCTCCACGTTTTGCGACTGTGCCCTGTGTAGCGGGGTTGTTGTAGTAGTTATTGCCGGCGGTAGCCTTGCGCTTAGTGCCGATCAGGCGCGGCGGGGCAGCAGCCAGGGCACGGGTTTTCGCCTCGAGGTCGATCAGCTTGACATGAGGAATATTATGGGTAGCCTTGTATGAGGCATACGACAAACGGGCGCGAAGATTGCGCGTCACCTAGGAGAGGAAGAGAGGGGTATGTTAGCATTCTCATATTATATCACGACCGCGCCCCACACACAGCCATCTCAGCGGGGGATCCGGTATACAAGTACCACAAAGTAAATGATACTCTGAGTGCCTTTTCATATCGTTGGCGCGAATGGCTGTCTGCCAACGCGTCCCGCGAAGTGCTCAGTCTGAAATGAAATGACTCACCATCGAAAGTTCTGTGCTCGCCATGACTTTCTGAATAACTTTCAGTCTATCTTCCTTCTCTATTGGATCCACATCCATCGATGTAGAAGGGCTGTAAGCCTGTAAGTAGGACGCTGGAGGGGACGCTGAGGTCACCGAAGACGACGGAGTCGCCATAAGGAGCGCGTCGTTGGGAGTTTATAGTGATTATATACAGAATAAAGCACAATATATCACAGTAAGAGCGTCAGTCTTACGACCTGGGGACTGTTACAGATGACCAAGAGAGGAAACTGGTCGATGTGTGGGACGTCGGGGAGCGCGTTAAGGAATGGGGCACGCGCGACGACGCGCTAGTCTTATTCATCCGAATTCCCACGGATTGATTTAGCCGCACCCGCCGGTTTGTGCCTGTTTTTACCCAGAAATAGCTAATAATGGTTCAGAATTCACAGAGAAATATTCTTCACGTTCAACGAGAAAGTCATCGTTTTTATGTACACTTTCCTCCTTCACATTGATCAGGAGCGTGTAGTGAGTCCTGGAGAGGAACCATATCGTCTAAGTGGGTTATGTTGATCGGTATGAATCGGCCGCTTGCACGACACGGGATGGAGATAACAAGATACAAACTGGTTGACGGTAAGATAACCGGAGTTCACGTGGGTCTAAAAGACATTCTCGCGAGAATAACTGTAACCCAGCTGACAGTTATGAGTTTCGATCAGGTGAGCATATGATCTGAAAACGCCCATTTTAGCTCATACTTTCCGTCGAAAATGCACTACGACCGTTCCTACCTTGGAAGACGCTCCTTCAGTCCTTGTTTTGGCTCTAAATTCTGAGCCATGCGCGTCGGCGACATTCATTTCTTCCCAATACCATCTTGGAAGAAATCCGACGCGATCTTCCCCTCCTTCGACGTCCCTGACGTACACATCGTCTAGCAAAACAGCAGAGACACCTTTCTTTGGCGTGAATTTGATACGCCAGACATTAGTACTTGAGCCTTCTCTGATGGTGTTCCTGAGGAAAGTTAAAAATTGGTCTCCCCATGCTAAACAGACGTTGGGATCCCAGGCGCCAGGCTTTCCTCGAACCAGGCGAGGCATCTGTACAGTCTGGAAGACTTGCGTAGTCGTTAAATATCCTGATGGCTTCCTGAACCCAACAAAGATCTCCTGTAATGCGGTGTATTTATAAGGTCCTGTTTTAGTGTCATTTTGCATACCGGAACTCCTAGCAGAAATGACTGGAAATAAAATTTCAAAAGCTTTCTGTCGCACAGTCTCAGCAAGGTTAGGCATCTGAATCGTAGACTCACTTTTCAAATCTGGTCTCGTCTTGTGGGCCACGTATTGACAGTGAAGTTTTGAGTTCAACGAAGTTGTCAGTATTCCCCATATATCGTCCTGCAACAAATGACGTCTCCATATCTATTGACGCGAATTGGCACATACCTCGGACGCAGTCAACTTCTCCGCCAATGATGATCCGTGTATCGCCCAACTTCGTCTTAACAACACTGCACCACTGAACATTGGTATCTACATCACCGCCCCAACCAACAGCGCCCAAGGTATCAGAGGAGGAACCAGAGGCATGTTGGTTACGCTCGTTGGGAGTCGACGATGTGCAAAAAGATTCAAAAGAATATCCATAGTAAGACTGAAGTAGTTGCCGAGGTTCCAGGTCGTTCCTTCCTCAAGGTGAGCAAAACACATGCAAGACAGAAAAAAGTTTCACTTTTCCTTTAGTCTTGCATCTGATAGATGCTCCTCAAAGTACATAGTACCGTCGACACACATCACGTTGAGCTCCCAAGCATCTCGCTCTTCGTAAGGTGCTGTCAATATTCTCTCTCACCAAAAGCATTCCTCAGGTAAACATATCATACAGCGAGTGGCATGACATCTCACTTGGTCATAACTCCTCTCCAGCTTATCACTCCAATCTCGGGATTTTGCCCATTGAGGCTTTTCTTGAACCGTGACCACGCACTCAATAGACCATCGATGCGTCCACGTTCTTCCGGACGCCGTGTCCAATTTTTGTATCCGTGATTGAGATCTGCACCATGCGGTGGATGGACGAAATAGCGCAATGCAGAGTCGTCAAATTGTAGAACGCGAGAGGGTGAATACGAAAACGTGATAAGTTGACTAGGGCGCTGAAACGCGGGTGAATGTGAGGCTGGATGTGATAGGCTTGGGAAGGTAAGAGAATAATCGCTTTCTATTTTGGCTCTAGCCACCTTGCCGGTTGGCGAGGGATCATCCTCTGCAGACCGCTTAAGAGCCATTATATTTGTTATTACTTGCAGTTGGCGGTCAAGGTTGTTTGTTTATTTCAGAAGCTTTTGCCAAACAAGGTCACCAACTGGCAAGTATAAGCAATATTCTCATTTGGCAGCAATGGCAGGAGTAAGGTGCATTTTGCTCTAGAATCATCACACAAGTCCGAGTCGGGCTCGTCGAATGGCTCATCTCCGTCTTGTGCCGTGAAAGGCAACGTGCTGAACAGCCCTTTTGAATTAATTTCCAGAAAATCACCGAGTTCGACAGGCCTCATTGAAGTTTTACAGTTTGCGTGCACATGGGCCTGCTGTGAGCCCAATGTCATGATCCATCGAATCCGGGAGTCCGTTGAACTGTAATGAATGCTTAAGCGCGTACGCGTCACCTAAACGTCAGCCAAGGGTTGTTGTACTAAGTATTATGTAGCCCGGTATCCTGGCGCTGATTCACGCCCATGACACATTTTACCTACAATTAATTGTATAGGCATGAGCCCTGGTGAGAACCGTGAGAGTCTCGACCAAAGTTCCAGAATCGTAACTATCGTTCGTTGGAACTCCATGATTGGAGGAACTCTCGACCCAATCTTGTCATCCAAACAGGTCTGCAAAATGCTTCACTCGGGCTAGCAGCCCTGAAATCATGGCTAGCTTGTGCAGGTAAGTGAGATTCACACTCTGATTGCGTTCAATGCTAGCCTTATTGTAAAAAAATGCCGTCATCTTTCTCCTTAAGTTACTCTATTAGCATTGAGACGTGTCATTCGACATTTACCCGAGGCTCGCCAAGGCCAACTTGAGCTGTTCAATCTTGTTGTCGCATCGTCACTAGTCCAGCAGTGATGGGGCCCCGGCACTTTCTATTACCAAAACTTATCACCCGTGATCCGACATATGATTTGTATCTTCGGCGATCTGGCAGGACGGGTGCACACGTAACGCTAGGTCGACGAAACATGCCGCATCAGTCACCAATGCACCGCTCTGTCCTTACTACTCCAAACACGAAGTGACTGCGTGTCCGGGTCGGGGGGCCGTGGGTCATTAGCATGTACCTATGCTCTCATAAGTACTAACCTTACTTCATATACCCCCTCAATTTTTCCCCTCTGCATCCTATTACGCACTCACGATTCCCGTCATGATTTTCTGTCAGTGCTCGCTGTCTACTTCTTCATCCAGACACTAACAACCCGACTGATATAGTTACGAAGAAGCCTAAAACATCTGCCCTTCCTCCCGGATGGCCATCGCCATTCCACAACAAGTGCACTCAACGAGACTGCTCCTACGCTAATAACCCGCAAACCGTCAAGGGTGTTTACCAATGTCGCGGTGTCCCCGGAGGTTTCTACTGTGAGGGCACATACAAAATCGCATCCACCCGAGCGCGCGAGACAGAGCACTATTTACAAGAGATGGCCATGGCTCGTAGATCAGCTGAAGAGGAACAGAGAAGGCGCAAGACATCAGAGATGAGACGACCTGAGAGGGGACCCGAGTTTGGGATGCGACGGGGTGGGACGAACCTGTCTGACAGGAGAATACCAGATGAACGGGACCACCGATCTGATTTTCGGCAAGCTCCTCGCATTACGAGAGGCACGGAAAATAGGAGACCGCAAACGGGTGTACCAAGTTCAGGTTACCGCCCTTCACAATCCGAAAAAGAGTCGGAGTACAGGGTTGACCAACTTCTCATGAACCTCTATCCTGAAAGAGAAATCCGACCAAGATGGTGAGCAATACGCTAGTCTATTAGAATCGATGCTTATCGTTGAACTCCGTAGGATATAATGAACATACTACTACACGAGTTCTACATTTTATGTATTTTTAGGCCCCATTCAGAGCCAGTTCGATGATAATAACGATTTCTGACACGATATTACTTACATATGTCCTATATAACAGGACAACTACACATATTCTATTCTACACTTACACCGTGTCACTTATACTGGATTGATTATTATGTAAAGAAACTAAATGCCTATTCGAAATACCGCTGGACCAAGCTGCTTCTGCAATCTAGGTGTGATCGAAATTGGGAAGATTTTTGGATGGACTAGGCCTATGTACGTGATCGCGCTGGCATGTACTAGTACAGGGATGCTCATCGATTTCGCATCCGACCTCGTCTCGTAACAAGCTTCTTCATGTCAAAAATGTCAACGAGAACGGAGTGTATGCAAAGCAGTTCAAACTGCTTTGGTGAGATACCCGTTCCAACATAGCCCTTGAGCCTTGGCTAGCGTTCTTGATAGCTGAAACACGGTCTTCAAATCCACATGCTGTTGCTGTCCAAGGTTCATTCGAAACTGTTCTGTCCTCCATATAGCGTCGAGTCATGAATACAAAGAGTTCAGGGTTAGCTGAGCCATGCCTTTTATTATCTTATCCAAGGGACAGCGCGATGCCTCGGATTTCGAGCTGAGCATTATGTTATCAAAGACAATAGAAGTTTAATCTCGCCGAACAATTCAACGGCATCCTACGGATTACACCGAGGACACCCTTATCAGTAACAAGGGATGTTCTCATCCACGGAGGTGTCTCACATGTAACATGTTCCAGCTTTTTCGAGCCCTTCAGTTACATAACATGATCATGAAAGCTGACAGCCCTGTAGGATGATATCGTCACCACAGAGATATCAGCGACGCTGCAAGATGGATACGATGCGAATGGTTTCATGGCCATCATCATTTTGCTGTGGAGATATGAAAAAATAAAAACATACCTATATAAAGTTTATAACGAGTTCAACGGGGATGAGTGAGTGGAAGTTAATTCATTGAAGACACGCAAAGTAAGGACACGCTTTTATATTTGAGCGAATGGCTCATCAAAACGTTACAAAGGGGAATTCCGTCGCAGGTGGAGACTCTCGAAGATATGTTTGTGACTGTTTCAGACATTGAATGCGGTGCTGTAGCATCAGTTTCGGGTGTACACACTTTGAAATTTGACCAATGACGAGTTGAGCGTTCCAGACGCCAACATCAACAGAAAAATCTCAGCTGCCCAAGGGCCAGGTCCTGATAGCGGTTCTCCCCTCCCATCGACTGCCCGATCAACGATGGAAGCAAATAAATGCTTCCGCGGAACCATTTTATGGCTGGACAAGCAAGACTTGCATGTGACACCGTGGACCTAAATTTATGATCATAGATCGAGCGGAAGAGAATATTTAGATGCGGCGATAGAGGCTCTGATCACTTTAAGTGTTACGCCAAATTTCAGCGGCGAGGTTTTCACGAACTGCATTTTTCGCCCCATTCTACGTGTCTCGACCAATGGGCCCCTATATCTTTGATACCGGTTAATGGTAGGAAGTCGAGGTCAGAAGGCAGATAAAGACCTACTCGTCGACGAAGACGGAGAACGCAAGCATGACGGGGTAACTGGATCAGCATAAATACAAATATGGCTCACGTCGCTGTCAAGGAGATGCAGAGAGATACATGCACTCTACGATGAGCCGCGTCCACAAAGAACGTGTCTCAGTTGTGAAAAGTGTCCAACTTTAAATATGAACATCTTGAAGTCTAGAATGATTGATCGGTGAGCAAAAGAAGGAAGTAACTTGAACGGATCACGCACCCAACAAAACTGATGGATCCTTCAAACGCAGTGACAGAATCGATCGGGTGACGCATACTGTAGTTCCTCCGGTATCAGTCAACATAGACGCGAAAATATCCATAGCATAGATGATGAGTAGAGGCATTTGAATTGGAGCTGTGAAATAACTCATGTACGCACTGTAAACGAGTTGAAGCATAACAAACAGAATAACAATATACTGTACAAACAACAAAACTGCAAATAAATATCATCACTATGCCGCGCAAACGTACGAAGTCAACGGGATAGAATGCTACAAGTCCGTGCACGACGTGCCATCACCCGTGGACCCTCTTGTTAGATGATTCGGCTTCATCGAGCGCTCTCCTGCGCTTGCCCCTTCCTATGTACGACGGCGGTACAATGAAATATTTTTCAATGGCAGGCCTTGGGGACCTCGATGGCTGAACTGAGTACCCTCCCATCACAGGACTCGTTGGATTGGAATGTACGAGAGTTTCGATGGTCATGCTAGATGCTCCTACATCCTTTGGTGGTTTCTTTTTGTACTAGACGATATTAGCCACAGCGTCACAGGTACGCGAAAGAAGACGCACGGTTTCGAGTTCAGGTTTACCACGCCACTTTGCGATTGCTTCACAGAAGCGTAATGCTGCCCTTTCAACAGGCTCAGCAGGGTAGTGCCACGCTAGATCTTCCATGTGGGTAGATAGATCCGGCGTCAAAGACGGTATCGCATAGAACTAGGGAAGAATAGAATGTCAGCAATCTTGTGAAATCCTTGGTTAAGACAAAGATCTCACCCTTCTGAGGCGCTCATCCATTTCAGCTTCAAATTCAGCTTCGGCGCCCTCTCTTCGAATGGGCGTGCCGTTTCGCGTAGCTCGCAATGCAGGAAACATGATTTTTGTCGCTTCTTTGAGACCAGGCAGGTCGTCTGGGTCAAACCATGCAAATGCAGAGTCTTCGTCGTCTGGTGAATCGACTTGACCCAACCCATCGTCAGTGATGCCCAAGCCAACTGATAGAAGGCATTCGACAGCCTCCAGACCCCACCATCCTCCGGTGAGATAACCCTCTAAGGTAGCACGAGAGAGCAAGCCCGCAAGGAGCATGTACCATTCTCGCGAAGGTCGTAAAGGAGGCGCAGAGGGCGCTTCAGTGGTTTGAGATCTCCGGGACGAGGGCAGAGGTGATGTTGGCATTTGAACAGACATCTCTGTACCCCGTTGCCAGTCGCCTTCATATTCATCATCGCGAAGCTCTTCTCCGAGTTCCGTTGCGACGAGGGCAGAAAGCCTTAAAAAGCGTGGAATGAGCTCTGCCAACCGAGTGTTCCCAGCGCCAGCACCAAACTGTTCCCGTTCAGAATCAGTCATGCACCACTTCGACTTCCGACGCAATACGCTGCCATCTACACCTGGATGAGCCAAGCCCGATCCAACACCGGGGCCATCTTGCCAGCCAGCGATACCACCTCCGCTGTCACCCATACTTCCATTCGACCCGCCTAATCCTCCTTCCCATTGTCCAAAGTTTCTGGCGCTCGTTACAGCAGATGGTGGGCGTGCTCGACCAGACCCGCCTGGTGCTTTGACAGAGTGTTTAGCTTCAACGCATATTTCGCATCCAGTATGAAGATGTCGTGGGCACCGCAAGCCGGGGGGTGAATTGGCAGTGGAAGGGTCGGCGCCCTGCATGTACATGGCGCATACACGGCTACTGGGCATGAACTTTGACCTTCGGTTCTTTAAGGTAGCATCGTCAATAATAGATACTTCAATCTCAGAATTGGGAACTCACATGAGACTGCACCATTTGTGGTGCTTGCATTGTAGGAGATGCACGAAAGTCGGCCATAGGTATAAGAGATGTCTGAGGAAGTGCCGCGGCTGAGACATGCGAAAGCAGGACGACTGATGGAGGAATGCGACCAGTGACTCCTTGCCCAGAGGACATACTACTGCCCGTCCCGGATACTGGCGATGCCTTCTGCATTGCAGGAGAGCTTCCAGGACTTCGACCATTTGAAGACGCCTGATCTGAATTATTGGAAACAATAATTGGTGGAGGGTGATGATGATGTCGATATGGAGGGGTAGGTGCTTGGCGTGCAAATAAATCATTGATGACAGTCCCCAACGCTAACCGTAAACGAACACCATTCGGAAGAGTGTGCGGGTGGTTAGATGCTCCACGCTGAGGTGATTGTTGTGATTCTGGGCGCTGTGGGGATGTGGGTGGTGTATTCAGATCGTCGTCGAGGATTGGGTGCACAGGAGGAGGCTGGTCAAGCATTGATGTGACGACCTTCTCGAGACCAATAGCACGGAGTCTTAGAGTCCTTGCCAGGGTCAAGTCCTGTTTCTGCCGACGATTGTCCTCATCCTCATTATGAGGATGATTTGGACCACCCTCTCTGGCTTTGAGCATTTCAACATTTTCACCATCGCTTGAAACGTCGTCATCTTCCTCATATGACTCTGGGCGTTCGCGGTAACGATAATTAGGCGAAGAAGGACCTCCTGTTCGGTCGGTCATTCCAAGCTCAGCACGGGCCTGGGTAAATCGGGTTCGGCCATGAACCCATAACATATGATCTATTATGAGAGTTCGGGTAGATTTCTCTCTTGGAGGGATAGAGTGCAGATGATGTGCATGTTTGTGAGCTGGGGCCTTGAAAGGTCGTGAACCATTTGTTGGATTTGAAGATGATGAAGATGACGCGAAGATGGGGGGATGATATATGGCTGTCCTTGGAGGTTGGGGTACGCTGAATGATGAAAAGTGACCTTGATTCAAAATTGCGGAAGTAGAAGCGCTCCCGTTATGCAAAGATGAATAGGATGTCATGTCATGGATCGTGTCACTGTATATGCAGGGAGTATTTTTGATCCTATGTCGGCCGTCGTTCTTCTCCGAATAACGATCGTTGAACTTGGTTTGCTGTTGATGTTCTTCGTGAAGAATCGGAACACCCCGATATAATCACTTCGATTTTCTTCTCGCAAACTCTCAATACCCAATATCTGACAGCGTGGAAGGCGGAGTCCTCAACTTCGTGGTGGTTGAATAACTGGCAGCTATCCTCATCCAATCTAACCCTATTGTTGTTGGTGCTGGTCAGATGAGCTGAGGCCTAATACCAAGGTGAGTTCAACAGCAGATGCGGCTCCCCGAGTGACTATCATTAGCCCCCGGGCCCCGTCAACTGAGCTATTTTCCCTCACTCGCCATCGATGCAGACGGAGAATACTATTCAAGTCCTCCGTGATTAACATGGACATTAGCCGGGAATCTCGGGACAAGTCGCCATTTCCGTGAACTCGAGCTTGTAGAAGTCCCATTCAACTCAAGCGCAAAATCATTTCGCAATCGAATCTCATCAGCCATCCAAGCACCGTCTACTTCAGACCTCGCAGCTAGTCCCTCATTGGTAGATCTGGATGTTATGCTGCATGCGGTCGAACATATCAAATAGGGAGAATAGGCGATCATATACTAACTTATCTCAGGTCAATGCGCCAAGCCTTTCTGGAACACAGGGTCGGCGGACTACAACGAGTCAAATTGCAGGGTTTGATAAAACTACAGGGCTAGCGCCTGCAAGGTGTCAACACAGGTTTGATTGACATTGTCCAAAATCCACGCCCAGGTCGGAATTCAGTCTACTCCTTAACATTTCTTCGACGAGACTGATTTTAGTAGCGGTTGAATTATTCAGGCTATCTGAGCAACTTTCCCAATACAAACATGAATAGGTCATGGTTTATTCACAGCCTAGCCAGAGGCCAAAGTAGGGGCTCCGGTACCTTTGCTTTTATGAGGACTAGCTCGAAGACGCACCCTACGATCTGCAGTGTCATGGTAAAGGGCTTATCTAATCGGCATTCAACCCCAAATTGTTCGATAAGTCGGTGCCTCCCCAGGTCAGAGCCACAGCGGTCAAGATTGTCCATTGGGCACATCACATCAATGCGTCGAGAATGCGGCCTCCGAACTTTGTTATCGTTTCCCCAACGTCAGAACAATGGCGACAGTATGCCGTCGTTTGACTTTACGACTTCTGCAACAGTTTTTGACATCATTTGCATAATCATCGAAAACCGTTAGGCGCGTTTAGTTTTGTGCCACACATGTTAGCGCCGAATGGCCTGCTAAGCTCTACGTGCTAGTCAATCTCGACATCACTTCTCGGCATGCCATGACTCATCTTCGCGGGGACACTCAGGGGCCGTCTTATACAGACTTTCTCATGTCGAATCTGGTTTGCAACCCCCTCGTCGACCAACGAAGACTATACTCCAAAGAAAACAAGGCCATCTATCTCTAGTTCACGGGGCGGTGTTCCATCAGTCAATCTCTGTGAGCTGTCAATGTTGCACAAGACTAATTTTAACTCCGATATTCCAGGACATGGAACTCAAGCTCAATTGCGGAGGCACTCAGGGGTATCTTAACCCAAGCTTTCTCATGTCGTATCTCTTCCCTATGATATTTCTCGGGTTTGGAATTCTTTTTGTCATTGAACTTGATCCTGAAAAAAATTTATACCAAGGTTGATTTGTTGGTAGTACACTGCACCTCCTACGATGTCTAGTTGATGGCTGCCGATCTCAGCTCGGTAGCATTTGGCTCCGTCATGACTGCGGCAGAATGCCGCCATCAATTTATCCTTCCTGTGCCCGGGGAATCTCAAGCCTTCGCATCACCACTGTCAACCATAGCAGAAGAGCACCCGAATTTCGAAAAGGATCGTCGTGTGCAAAACGTCAAAAACGTAAGTACCCTGGATATGTCATTTACGAAGCTCATACAGGGCTCAGCAGATTGGCTCAAGCCTGTGATGCCACAGCGCTATTGAGCTGACATTTTTATCCCATGGGACGCTACTACCACGAATACTGCGGCACCGTCAGTCTAAGCGTTTCAAGTAACTGTGGCCCAGAGATCTCGGACCTTGACTCTGTGCATTCATAATTAAATTGTAGGCTATACAAGCACGCATCAAATTATGAGCGCAACTGCAATGGTCATCGTCGAAGGCTCGTACTCGATTTCCCTATAGCCAACATCTCGGTCGTTAACACAGGCCAGCCCTGTCGCATCACGCTCCCGCAAGTGGCCGCGGGCTTTTTGCTACGACGGGGATAGTCCCGCGACGTTCGAATATTTAAATAAGTTGTCAATGATAATGCAGACCACAAGCAACGCCACACGGATCGCGATTGTGCCTCGAAACAATGCATCCCGTCGGCTGTGCAAACTATGTACATAGTGCTATTTCGAAACTTCTCCGTGTTGCGGAACGAGTCACACGTGAGCTCTGATGGGGAGATTGAATCATGGCGTGTTTTCCAAGGTTCGCTTTTAGTCAAGTAGCGTCTTCATCGGGGGCAGTGTAAAGCCGAGGGTATCCCGGTCCGTTCCGTTTTGAACTTTGAACTTTTTGCGATTGCCAGGCTGTTTGATCGGTCGAGGCAGTGCTCATGATTGACGCTAGTGTTGTACAGCCCTGCCTGTGGTAAACGTCATGAAAAAAATCTTCCAAGTTCGAGCTCGATTTTCCGTAGACATCGCCATATGTAATGAAATGCTCGAACGAGATTGATCGTTGAAATTTTGATTCCATTGTATAAATATACGACATGATGATCAGACCGACGTCCGCCGTATCTAGGATGACTACGCTACAGGGATGAGGATAACGGGAACAAATAATAACGGTGGAGCGGAGCAAGCACACTACAATGATACTTAGGTACGATGACTAGCATACGAAGTTGCATCAATAACATGATAAATGACAAGACAAGAAGCCGAAAAGGGTAGTATAACAAAAATCTTTCGTCAAGGGAGAATCCGCAGAGCGTCCCAGGAATATGGTAGGCAGTCTTGGTGTTGAAATGTATGGGATGTAGATTAGACATATCAAGTCAGTTATTAGAGGGGCTGCCGCGTATCGAGATGGTGAGGATGGGAGTCTGGAGAGCATCATACCATGACGCTCATGCTACTCCACCCATTTTCCTCGGTCTTGGGTACAGGGCCACGGTCAGTCTCTTGCTTTGCAGCATCGAGAATTCGTTGACAGTCAGCACCGCCCTCAGAACGTACTATAGAAATTTCGATAAGCAATGTATTATGATGAAGAAGACACAGCACTTACAATGTCTGTTCAGGGCATCCATTCGCGCAAAGGTCTTGTTACAGCCATCGCACGTGAAAGGACGATAATTCGAATGAAGTTGTTCATGTCGCTTGCAATCGTGCTGTCTGGCGAACCCTTTGCCGCATCCCGGCCACTTGCACTGGAATGGTCGTTCTTCATTGTGTGAACGCATATGTCCTTAAATAGATACGTCAATATCACTGCACGAACCGACATTAAATTTAATTACCTTTCAGATTGAAGCTCCTCGTAAACGTGCTGCCACAACCAGGTACTGGGCACAGGAAGTTGGCATCCTGCTTGCGGCGCCGGTGGCTGGCGCCAGCTGTGCGCTCACTAGTCACAGTTTGTTTTGTGACAGAGATCTGGCTCGCCATGGTTTGGGCAGGGTCTGGGCGAAGCATAGATTGAGGACGTCCAGCGAGAGAGACACTGGGTAAATCCTCGTATCGCACACGCGGACTGGCTGATGGGCTGGGGTACGGGCTTGGGCGGTTAGATGACATCCCACTCCAGCTGCCGTCACCCCCACCGCGTGAGCCCGATGATGCCCGACGGTTGTGCATGCGAATGGATTGCACGGTCTCTTGGGGGTAGAGATACTGACGGTTAATGAGATCCGTGTGCGATGACGGAGGGAAGAGCAGAGGAGAGGAATGAGAGATGTCTTCAGAACGTGAGAGGCGGTTGTGGGTTGGGCGTGAGCCGCTGTCAGATTTGGATCGGCGAAGGTTAGCTGCCATGGCATCAGGGGTGAGATAGTTCATGTTGGATGGAGCGTTGGGAGTCCCGAAGTTGAACTGCTGGGTGTTGTTGAACGATGATTGATTAGCACTTGCGCTGGAGGGATGCTGCGATTGTTGGTGCTGCGGAAGGACGTCACTGAGGTTGACGGTGCCGTTGTCGTCGATAGCAGAACTATTGATGGCTCTGAGTTGTTCGTGGGTCATGAGAGAAGAGTCCCAGAAAGTTGGACGTAAAGAAGATGAAGTATCGGATTTACTACGAATGCGGGGGTTGGTACCCGGGAACAAGAAGCTGGTATTTGTAGGATCAGGATGGTGACCGAGACCGGACAGCCCCTGTGTATGAGAAGAGTGGCTGTGCGAGAATTGCTGTGCACCCTGTTGTGACACCCCGAGTAATTGAGATCCTTCGGTATGCTGAATTTGTTGCTGATCCCAAGGGGGGGTCGCAGCCTGTTGCTGTGGCGCATTTTGCGTTGATCCTGTTCGGACGTAAGACGCAAACAAAATATAAAAGGAAAGTTAGAGATTCCCGAAATAAACAAGATCCATCACGGAGTCAACTTGCCTTGATGGAGAGTTTTCAGGGTAGATTGAAAAGGGACCGCTTGTGAAGCCGCTCCACCGCCACTTATGGGTGTAGCAGGAACAATGTGCAGTTGTGGACCACTGGATGTAAAACCACCATCGCCGTCTGGGGCGTTTATCATTGGGGGTTCCTGTGGAAACAATGAACGGGCGGCTGGACTGCTATCAGGAATCAAAAGTTGAGGTGGAGACTGGGGTTTTCTTGGAGGAGACATGGATCGATCTCCGGGAAGATTATGGGACTGCCAATGGGGCGATTCAAAACGAAGATTTTCGAATGAATGAGCCATATCAAGACGTGGGGATGACGTGGGAATTTGTGGGTTTGAAGATACTGAAGAAGCACGACTGCGCGGCTCATCTCCTGCTCCGTTGCTAGATGGAGAACTATGATCGAAAGCATTTGGAGGACGGTTATCGAAAGGAGCACGAGTGACGGAAAGCGAGTTGTGATCAACGTCAGGGATGTATTCTCCTTGAAACATGAGCAAACCGGAAGAGTTTGGTGGATCGTACTCGGAGGGGTCATATTCGTCGCGAGAAACTACATTGTTTGCATCTGGTTCGAAGAGACCAAAAGCCTCTGGACCGTCTGGATCATAGCTGAGCTCTGAATGACCAGAGTAAGGAGAGTTCTGATAGGATCCATTGTATGAGGGAGTATGGGGGAATGGAGGAGATAGATGACCGAACTCGTAAGATTCAAAAGGAGTATTTGCGGTTAGGTTCAAAGGCTTGTTTGAAGGACTGCTGGAGTGATAATCAAGGTCGTTGAGGTATGTGTTTGATTCTGAGCGAAGTAGCGCCATCTGTCGTGAAAGGTATTGGTGGTGTAGGGGATAAATTGCAGCACAGAGAGAGAGATGATAGATCGGGATGGCCGATTTGCTGTGCAGTAAAAGACGCTGATTGTTTGTTTGAAAAATATAATAACGAGTTGAAGAAGGATGAGGATAGGAATAAGAAAGATATTGACGCTTGTCAGAGGGGGAAGGTAGAGGTTTTGTGAGAATTCCAATAGGTTTATTATTGGCATCAATAGTGCCTGGTCTTTTTAACCTCCGCTATACATGTATATTCGGCCGGACTACATATCCATACTTGGAATCTGTTTCCGATGGCTTCATCCGGCTGTAATTTATTGTTTATTTTCGGCAACGTCCACCGACAAAGGCGGCCCCTCCATCAATCTTTGGACTCGGAAATTCCCGTCTGGTTTCTGCTTGCATCAAGTTACGTTGCCGTCGCATCCTCTTCGAATCTTGTTTTGTCTAGCCAGTCGTTCTCAATATGCCGATCAGACTATTCGGTAATCAATCTTGTCGGCGTATGATGGTCTTTGGCACGTTAGGTACCATTGACCCATGTGCAACCTGACAGTTTACTGAATAAATCTTTCTTTGATACTTCGTTACGTACATCAAAAACGTCCCCTCCCCATGATATATCGATCGCGGTATTCAAAGTCTATCACCCTCTAAATTAGGGGTGTCGACAATGTGTCTAGTCCTGACTTAGGTTCCTCCCTCGCGCCGACTATCGGAAACTTACTCTTCTGCTGTCGATCCCTATCCCCAAACTCCTTTTGCAGCCGCTCTCGTTCTGCGACCACATGGTCCTCGCTGTGGCAATGCCCTGTGTTATGAAATCTGTCATCGACTCCTTACGCGCATCCATCACCTTTTGATCGAAATACCCGCGAAAGTTACGCTCGCTCGCTCTCGAACGCCGTTCCTGGAGCCCCGAGTGCTTCTCCCGCAACGCTCTTCCGTACTCGATGCGGTACGTCAAAGCCATCTATAGAGTCCGATTAAGTTGCAGGTCGTTTCTCTCGTTTCAAACGCATTACCGCAATGACCGGGGGTTTATACGATTCTCTTGATCGACGAGGTAAACGTGCATGGTCGCCGGAACGCAGAATTGGCGAATGCGGCTGCGGCATTGGGATCCCTGGCCTGGCTGCACGTTATGCATAGCCATGACCCAGCCAAGAAGCGGCTCGTTTAATGAAATTCATGTATACAGCAGTTTGGCATGCCCTGATCATATCGATGCACCGCCTCGTTCATCAGCAATCGCGAGAACATCAAAAAGAACATATATGATCAGTTCGAATTCAACGCAATATCACTGCAAATAGGAATTTCATTGTAATGTACATCATGCGACCCAATTTCCGAGGTACAATCTGATGCGTTCTCCCATGTTTTGTGAGGCAGTGTGACTACGTCGCCTACTACTTGTAGCAGGATCGACAAACGAAGCATTCTCTACCGTTCTCCTGTAGCTGGGGTTATCAGGGGGTTGTCCTGTCAAACACGCGGACCTTGCCGCAATTAATAAAAAGGTCTTCGATCCCCGGCGATTATCGAGGATGATGCATTGATGGTTGCACAGGACAAGCAATTGTAAGACAAGTTATATGAACATCTTGGAAGGACATCATCGTACCATCGTCGTTACCCCCCATCGTTGCCAATCAAGAAATCATTTCGATTCTGCAAAAACTAGAATACGGGTATTTCAGCCCATACTTAGCGACTTCCCTCCTCGCAACCACCAGCGGTGACTCGGTACCATATGTAATTCTTAGTGTGCGAGTATTTAATGGAACCCATCGGTGGTGCCCTGAAACGTGCCTTGCGAGAGCGTTGGCCACGCGCCGTTCTTTCAAGGGTAATTCTCATTCATATCGCGTTTTTGCATTCTAGACATGCTCGGTGCACCGCATGTGGTATGCATTGTTATTTCGAACGTAGAACACGAGGAAAATCGATGGGCAGACTTCCACTTGGCCGACGTTCAGGCTGTGCACGCTGTAGGACGCTGTGCCAACCTCCAATTAGCGCCGCATCGGGATTTAAAAATAGTACCGCAGGGGGGTCGTTCGAGTATTGTGACTTTTGAGAAAGAAGGCTCTCTATAATAAGAAAAATCGATTTGAGCCATAGTCGCCTTCCGCTGAGGGTGGAACCTCGGTACTTGGATAACCCCAGATTCCAAAACAATTAACGGGGAAGTTGAGTCAGCCTGTCATCATCCTGAGTCAGTAAAAGCTCATAATATCATGCTGACAAGTTAAGAGTCAGCCGTGAGACGCGTAAGCTCGAACTTACTCGTAAAATGTAGTCAATACCAGTGAAATTCAGCGACATAGCCCTGAGGCAGTTCGCCCGCATCAGTGGAATAAACTTTGATTTAATATTAAGGGCGTCCATTCGTTGCTGCGAATACTACCATCGCTCTTCGGGGCTCGTGGGAAAGAGTACGTGGCACAGGAATACCAGATGCTGGTCTCCGAGTGAACTTCAAGCCTGCGATCAAAGTTATCTTTGTATGCGTTTCGGATTATCGGTGCCGTTCGTGTGCTAAAGCGAGAGTGTTTCCGGCACTAGACCTTTTCACACCAAAGGATAATAATAGTACTGACATCATTGACCAGGTTGTACCGCTGTGTCGTGATTCCTTCGTTGCAATGGAGCATAAATCCTTGCGCCCCTGGAGATAGGAGACTCATGAGAATGAATAGGAAGAAATGAGGAAAAATACCGACAGAAAGAAGGCGACTCGGATCAATTCAATTGAAGATTTTCAGGGGACTTCGCTATGCGTGCACTGACAAGGCGCTAGCAATTGATGGCCAGGCCGTCTGCGACAAATGCGCATTTTCGCCGTACCCCCCGAACGCACCCATACCCATCTTCAGTATAGAACCAAAAGCTAGAAGGAGCACCGATCTTGATCACCGCAGAGAGGGCGGATTTTCCGAAATTACAAACATCACTATGAGAACAGGTGAGAAATTCAGCATCAGCTTGGGTGTAAGTCATCGTTCCTGGCCGGAGTTTTAGATTGCTAAATTAACCCGAACCTTTTCTGAGCGCTGAAAAGCCCTCTGTAATCACAAATCTGCGCTCGGTCATGATTAAACACGGCATATTCCGTCAACTTGGGTTCATAAAGGGCGCTCGAGCGCCGTTGAGCAAATTGCTTTTCAGATGGAACTCCACCAGTTTGCCGAAATCGTTGATATGTCAATGTCATTTTTTGAACTAGACTAGGATGGCATGAGCGGGCGCACTCGCTCCACCATAGCCATGCGAGCCACTTGATATCAATTAGAATAAGGCTGACAGGAGGAGCAATTAACGCCCGCACCGCATGGACTCCATCATTTTGCGCTCGCGGGAGCCTGACTTGTTGAAAAACATGGGCAATCACCGAGCTCGATACTCCATTGGTTTGTGGCGGATCGTCCTAACAATTTCAGAAACCTTAGGTTCCGTGTTCCTAGATCATGCCAAAAGGCGATGCGTGTAGGCCGGCGCGCTAGGCCACTGGCGATAACCGTCGACGCGTTACTACAGCCGACTGGCAAGACCGAAGAATATGTGCATGTTCAGCAAAAATATGATGATCTAATAGGTTACAGTTTCTACCTTATAAATGATGGTGACTCGGAGTATCTGTTCAAGTGAACTAGCAGCTGGGCTGTGAATCAATGTGCTGGTGTTTGGTCGAGTCGCATCATGGATAGGATTGATCAAATTCATTGACAGTTGTCTATTTTCGAACACATACTAGGGTTAGGGTTAGGACGCTTTACCAGCAAAGAAAAGGCCCACCCAGCCAGAGTGGCCGTGGTGGGACAGGAAAATATTGAGACAGTGCATGAACCGAAGCTCACACAAACTGCAGTTACCCTCTGAGGACAGGGTCGCCGTGCTATGAAAGGTCCCTACAGCCCAAAAACCTGAGACATGAAGAGATCCGTGCCATCAAGGTAAGTATGAGGAATCAGATTTGTGAGTAGTCGAGTTTTATAGTGGGTGGTTAATTGCGCACGGACCATCGGGTGGTAGCGAAAGAGTATTAGGCGCTCTTAGGACAGAAGAGGCAAGTACTTCGGGCCTTTTGTCACAAGCCCAGCGCTGAGCAAAATAATATTATCGCACCATCATACAGTTCACATTCTTCGGCGGCACGCCAGTATGCACATATCCTTGTCCTAGCGGTGTCGCTAACTTATTCTGGACCACTCAGAGCAAGTACTACCAGTATCACAGCTGACACAGCCTAACTTGAATTCGCCGTCGATGTTATGAAAAGCATGCTACCTATCTTAAAATAATCAACAGTGGTGAGTGACCGAATTGATGCATCCAGGAACCAGGACTCAGAACTATGATTCAGGACAAATTTTCGAGTTATGTGGTAATCTGTGCACTTGGCCAGATGTCAGTTGCAGTCAAGGATTGCAGGGACGCTGCATGCTCCCTCCTCGGAGTCGGTCGCTATCTCGTCTGATACTCATGCTAAGGGTTGATGTTCGTGAGTATACGATGTCTCAACGGGTCGGCACATTTCAACCTATTAGAACACTCTACATAACTTCCCGCGCTTACCGCCCAGTCACCCTTTCACAAATGAAGGGGAATGGATTCACACAACTCGGGACAAGGTCCATATATCCTTCCATGGACGGACTGCGGTATGGAAACTGCTTGATAATGATGCAACGCCCCTCCCATCATAATGAGACAGAATCAATCCTTCGTTACAAGCACAATTTCAAACGCCAAGTCATGGGGTTCGCAAATAGAGTTGAGAGCCTCAATGAGATATCCATTTCGCGGATATATATGATGCGGGTTGTTGGCTAGCCATTAATATTGGCTCGGGCGCAGAGATTTGCTCAATATGTCGTGTTCTTTCAGAGCGACCTTACGTACTACTATTTCCTCCAACTCCTGGATTGCTCTTGCCATCAAACATCTTCCTATCCAAAAACTACTCATCCGTTCGAGACTCCCGTGGATGCTGGATCGTCGGTGGATCTGGACAATGCAAATATCACACAAGGTGGACGAGCCTGAACAGTTCATTCATGATCAACTTCACTTTTTCCCACATTTGAAAGGGACCTTTTCGCAACCTTTTTTTGGTGAATTCCTTTGTTCGATTTGGTCACGATGAATGTCTCTGCACTACTAATGTTTCTCATCCTCATGTCAGGATCAGTGAAAGGCTTGAAACAATGGCTGTAAATCATGCTCAACTTCCTTGGATATTTTCACTTACATGTTTTTAGGACGAGATGTATTTATACCTAGATGCATCGATTGAACGCTTTGTCGCGACTAACAAAGTGCTTTACATGATGCAGATGATCCAGAGTGACGTATAAAGTCGTGTTCACTTCCTCTTGTTCCAATGCACATCTCTGCGATATCCAAACAGCTCTCGTTCACGATGATCCCACTCACATCGACGTGCCTGGTGACTACGTTCGACTGTAGCATTGATTACAATAGCATTTTGGAGAACCACTTCGACATTGCTACCATGGATGAAGAGCTAGCATCATTCAAGTTCCCGGACAATGTAAGCTGAATAATCTGTGTATGAATGATGCGCTCATGTCTCGTAGCTTTACGATGCTGTGGCTCGTGCCTGGGATTCACGTAATTGCCCGCATACACAGTGTTTTGGTCAGAAACGACCTCATCACCTCGACGGTGTGACAGAAAGCTCACCTTCTGATATGGGAATAACATGGGACAGGCCTGGTTATCGTCCTCGTCGTTCATCCTATGAAGAGAGACGTGGTGCTGTGTCTGTGAGACCAAGTGAAGTCAACTCCCTACGCCCATACACCCCGTCTCCGAGTCTGAACTGCGGGAATTTTCCAGCGTTCCAGTCACGTCATAGAATTGATAGCGCAGCTTTTGACGAACCAATTGCCACCCAATGTGATGATCATTCATCCGATGCCGATGACGAGATGGATGACTGCGCTTATTCGACAGATAGTACAATGTCATGGCAGCTGCATAGCGTCACACAGGATTCACCAACGCCCTCGGCTTCTTCTTCTCTCGGCTCCATATCATGGTCCGACGGTTCTGAAGATGGCTATACTTCTACCCCCGATGGCGGTTACGATAAAATCAAGTCTTTCCCTTCCATGTACTCCAACTTCTTCGAATGTCAGGGTTCTGGGCACCCGGACTGCGGTCACGAGGAAAAGACTGGAATGCATCAGCTCCGCCGAGGGGTACCACCCAAAGGCAAATATGCCTCAGAAACGAGCGGAAAGCTACCCCTCGCAAGCAATGTTTCTCATCCGATACTTTCACACCTACATATGGAACCGATGACTCTGGATATGAGCTATCGGCATCGATCAAAGAAAGGAGCACCAGTGAACCCAAGCAAACCTTATTTCCCTGCTTGCTCGACGGCTGCAGGCAGGTCTGTAACAGTGCCACCGACCTTGCACGCCACCGGCAGTGTCTTAGACATCGTGCTCCTGAATATTCATGCCTGGGTTGCCGACACCCGTTTACTCGCCCTGATGCTTTAAAGAGGCATCTAAATGGAAAGTCTTCATGCAAACAGGCGCATCGAGCGGCTCTGGTTGCTAGGAAGGCTTAGGGGGACTTTTGATTGTCTTCGCGGTCCTGTCGGCCACCAATTACATTGGTGGTCCTTCTACGATCTCCGGTATCATCTTGATCCGAACGTGCGGTGGGCACGTCAACAGTGTCGATGGGAATGCTCAAGGGTTCGTCGTTAATGAATTGTGGTTGGTGTTTCGTTATTGAATGCAGCTTCAATCGGTGGTTCCTGCGAATAGTCACATCACCCTAGATAACTAATACATAAAATCTAATCCTTTATCTTACAAACGTGTAGCGGTAAACATGGAATATACCCTTTAATTGCCGCAATAAACTGCGTTCATATGATAAGAAGATCATCACCCCTTCGTGAATTTGACGTCCGAATGGAATGAGCCTGCGCAGATGTATCCTCCAAGCGCTCCTCCAAAATCTCCTTGGGACTATTCATCGAAAGTGTATCGGCTGCTTTAAGCTCCTCCACGGAGACGGCACGGCGCTTCCCAAGGAAGATCTTGCCCCCAGGCGCATCTTGCAGCGAACGAATAATGATATCTTTCTCAAATAGATATTTAATATCTTCCAGTGGATACCCACTCGTCTCGGGTATGAAGATATATACCCATGCTGCCATTATAAATGAAGCAACGCCGAATAGGAGGAAGGTCCCATAGGTAATGTGGTCTAGCATGATGGGCGTAATTTGAGCGATGATGTAGGTGAACAGCCAGGTAGTTGCAGATGCGAGGGACATGGCAGCCATACGGAGATGGCCTGGGGCAACTTCAGAGCCGAGGATAAGGGGAGTAAAACCCCAGCCTAAACAGAAGAAAACGCCGAATAGATATAAGGCAACAATAGAAACGTACGTTCCTGGCACAACACCCTGGTCTGGATGAGCACCAGCGTACCCGCCAATCCATAGCATCATCAAGCCCTGCGCTAGACCACCATAAATCAGGGTCCTCTTCCTACCCCAACTTTCGATAACAAAGGCAAGAGTTGTGCACGCGACGACGAATTTTACGACACCGTATATGCCAGTAGCAAATAGCGTCGAAGAAGTAGATGAGAAACCGAGGCCGGCAAATATTTCAGGAGCATAGTAATTAATTGCATTCGTACCGGACCACTGCTGTAAAAAGGTGGCGAGAGAACCGATAATGCAACGCAGAAATATGATTTTCGATTCTCCCATCTTGCGGAATTGTGTGAGCAGCGGTAGTCTTTGCTTCCCGATGAAATCAGCGCGGATCTCGCTAAGAGTCAGTGCGACGGCATCATCATCCTGGTCTTTCCTCGCAATATATGCGAGGACTGCAGCTGCTTTATCGTAGTGACCGCGTTCCACAAGCCAACGGGGAGACTCGGGTTGGAAAAGCATAAAAAACAGGAAGAGTGCCCCAGGTACCATCTGGGCGATGATGGGCAACCGCCATTGCATTTGTCCCTGGTGAGATATTGAGAGAAACGCTATAGTTGACCCAAACTATATACAATCGATCAGTAAAATTGTCTTAGGTCTGGAAGTGACACTCACAAGCCAACATATTTCCCAGTCCCACCGCAACTTCGATGCTACCGGTGCATCGACCGCGTATGGCTCTCGGGGCACATTCGGATACGTAGGTTGGCACCAAAGCTGACATCAAACCCACCCCCAGTACCGCCAAGGAAACGGGAGAAATACAAAATTTTCAACCCGACAGCCGGCGACGTCCCAACTCCAGCTATCGACTGGATGGTGCTTCCGATGAGATATATTACTGCTGAAGCCAATAAAGCCGGCTTTCTCCCAAATCGGTTTGCAAAGTAAGTCGAAAATAATGCCCCAAAGCTAACTAGTATGAGTCTAATTGCGATAAACCGGGAACTGAACTGCACTCACAATCCGCCCGCTTGCAGGACCGAAACTATATTAGCACTCAAGCTGGCCTTTGCAGAGGCTGATTCCGATTGCAGGCCAAAATATTGTTGAAATGATGGCAGTGCGATCACACCACCTATGAGACCAATGTCCCAACCAAAGCAGACGTATCCTGTGGTCGCTGAAAATGCAAGAAAGTAGGCATTGCGGTACTGAATGATATCTCGAAGTTCCATTTTCAAAGTCGTGGCCATCATAGAGTAGAGAGCGCATATAACGTGAACGGGAGGGTGAGCGTATCTCCCCAAGTGGACAATGCCCTTATATCAGTGTGAATAGTTATCTTGAGTGATACCTGCTTGGACCATTTCGGCCACTGGCGCACTGCGCGCATCATTGTTGACTAGTTTGAAAAGCGATGTTTCCCGAGAACTTGAAGGTTGCTACTGGCAGTAGCTAAGGTAAGGAACAAATGTCTTTCTCCTATCATAAGGAGAGACTCATCATGGTTGCGAAAGACGACCAGAACTCACAAGGCTTAGCTTCGATAGGTGGGCCTGACTTAAACAAATTGTCTGATTGATCGGACGCGGACTCATCAGCGTGAACTAGAATGAATGCAGCGCGACATCACGTAATATTACGCAATTCACTTTGTTTACATGTTGAAATCGGTTATTTAATCACATCACCTAGATTTACTGCGGAAACGAGAAAATAGTCCGGCCGGATTAGTGTACGGACAGAACCTATAATAGGATAGTAACACAATGTAAGAAAATGGATGTTTCACCAAGAGTTAGAGTCAGGAAAGGTACATTTGTGGGACACAAACACGACACAGCAAATGAAAGATTTTCAGGCTCTCCAAATATGCACTACAGTCTAATCCAACATCAAAATTCAATGATTTGTGTGTTGAGTTTATGTGTGATTACAACAGGAAACAAGTCTCATCAGGAAAACTACCAGTTGCTTTTTTTACTTTATTTGTCACTTAATTACACGAAAAGGGACGCATAAGTCGATGGAGTGAAAAAGCGCGAGCCACTTAATTAAGCCCACTCGTCCTCTGGATTTTTACTTAATTCACTTAAATAAGCAGAAAAAGCGGTTTAAGCATTTGATAGCAGGATAACGAGGATACATAGAAAGCATGATAAGCATGAAATTAAGGAGACTCTCAGTAACATAAGGAACTGGGGGAATGGGGGAAAAGGTGGGCATGCAGGCAAAAAAGCAGTCAGCGGCAGAAAACATGATAGCAGAGCTGGCGGAAAACATGATATACGGCAGAAAACAACCACAGGACAGCGAAATTCATGCACTGGCAGGTGCTGCAACAAAAACAAAATCCTGCAACAATGGATGTCAGTGAGAGGGCGCCTGAATGATAAATACTTACAAATCATAGCACGCTTGTCATCCTCCGACTCGTCATCGTCGATCAGCGAGCCCAACGGTGTTTCAGTGACATCATTCAAGGTGGTACGCGCCATCTGTACTGTAGTTTCGAGGTACCCAGCAGGCTTGCCTAACAGAGATTTGATGTACGAATTAGTTGGTTTAAGCCAGAGAGCTGCCGAAAATAAAAACGGAATGTTGGTCTTTTTCCCAGTAACTTTGTTGAGGACCTTCGGTAGCCTGATGCTAACCCGACCTCTTGATGCGGATGACAGAACATTTTGAACTTCGAGTACTTCATTTGCGATCATGGAGACAGCGCGCTTAATCTGAAAAAAATGAGCATGATTAAGCCATTATAGGTTGAACTCACCGCTGCAGCAGAAAGAGCAAGAGGCCGTAACATCCCACTTGTTGCAAGTGCGCACATGTCGAATGAGGGAACCTGCACATAACCGGTGATGGCGTTGAGGTGTGCTGTGCCAAATAACTGCAGTACAAAGGGTGAGCGGTATGCAGTAAGTGGAGATGGATTGTCCGGGTCCTCGAACAAGAATGCCCATTCAACATTAAGAGATTTGGCCAGTTTGACAGGATTCACGTCGGAATTTCGTGATAAAAAGTCCATGATGATGACTAGCCCTGTGGAGCCAAAATTGCTGCGCCACTCTGAAATGTGCTGTGCAGTCTGTATAGATTTAGCTCAGGTCGCTAAACCTAGAATTAAACAGCTGACTTACGAGTGAATGTATAACTCCACCGTGAACAACCACTATGTCGAGATCGTTGTACACTGCGTTAAGAACAAGCTGCGCATGATGGAGAAGGACCTCGTCAGGAATACTCCAGATATCTTCATAGCTTCCGGCCCACAGCATTATGGTAGGGATAAAATTCTTCGCCCAGCGCTGATCCATTTGCATCGCTGGAGGTAGGTCAACTGTGCGATAGGCACTGCGTGCTTTGATGTTGTCTGGTGCAGTATCTGCATTCTGCTGGCGTGTGGTAGCAGGAGCACCACGGGCATGTAGTGCGGAAGATTTGACCTTAGCCTTTTTATGAGCTGGCGGCTTGCTGTCGACTATAGCCTGAGATGCAGTAACGGATGTCTGTACATTGTCAGAAATGAGTGCGATTAGGGCCAGAATCCTTACTGAATATGTTGTGCGCAGAATTTTCTCCTTCTTTGCTGCGTTAGTTTTGACAGGGAGCGGTGCCTCCGAATCAGAACTCATGATTGCGTCTTCTACCAGTTCCGCATTGCCATCAATCTCCATGGACCAGGACACCAAAGACTCCTCATCGTCTATGGTGCTAGCTTTCCGCTTCAAGAACATATGATTGTCTTCCTGTGTGAATGGCGCCTTAGGCTCCTGTGAGTACTGCTCCTCCGGTAATACTTGTGTCGACAGAGCCATAAGCTCATCATCCGAGTCGTCTGATGCCTCTGGTGGAGCCTCAGGCTCATCGACATCATAGTCCTCTTCGTATAGCGTGACAACCTGTGAAAGAAGGAATTAGTAGATTCGGATGCTGGCAATGAATCACTGCCAATAGTACCTTAGATTTCCCCTTGTTTTCTTGCTCCCCAAGAGAGCATCCTCACGCTCCAACGAATCGTCGATATCATCTGCAACGCGCCAGTAAGAGTATCGTCTGCGACACCATCCGGAATTTGAGGCAAAGCTGCAGGAATCTTAGTCAGAAGCTCAGCGGCTGAAGTCGGTGCGGAGGAAGCATTGCCCTCTGAGAAAATTGATGACAGAGGTGCTCGAGTTGAAGTGCTATCAATGGATGGACATGACAGCGGCTCTGGATTTCCAGGTTTGACCCCTGAGATCCAGTGGTCACTCGGCCACCTAATGCAAGTTTTGTGGATGTGTTGATACTGGAAGTAAGGTTTAGAAAAAGAGTGTCGATTCAGTGAGGAGCAACATGGTAATGTGAGAGATAAAAGCCTTACGGTGATTTCCCATCAGCACGTGCATCATCACCTTCCACTTTTGACTCGGATGATTCAGTGAGCTTCTTTTGCATGTTACTGATGGGCATCCCTTATCAACGTCTTTTTCGACTTTCTTCGTCACCATCTTTTTCCCCCTTCCTGCAGCTTTATTTTCCACATCCCTGGCAATGTCAGTCTCTGACACTAGGTCCTCCAACATACCACTATCAGCAGGACTGTCACCACCACCGGTGTCTCCTACCACAGACTTTTTCTGAGTCACTTTGGCTTTATCGCCTTGGCCCTAGGCTTGGGCCGAACGGGAGTCGCCTTTTTCATGATCAATTCCTTCTGGGCTTTCTCCATCTCAGCCTGCAGAGCAGCAATACGCTCAACCCCCTTTTGGTGCGCTGCTTCCTTTGCTTCTCTCGCTTCTTTGATGACAAGGTCATCTGCAGCCTTTTGAGCCGGGGATCGCCTCTTGATCTTCGTGTCGAGCAACACCTTAGCAGGTCGGGCAGTTGCAGTCGATGGGCGGGTGCGCCGGGGAGCGTCTGTCATGGACATGACTGTGCAGATGGGGGAGACGGTGAGGGATAAGACTTTGCGGAAGAGGAAAAGAAAAGTAGGGTTTCAAGTTGAGAAAAAAAGTCGTAAGTCCCACCCCCAACAGCTGCCGACTGTGGTAATCGGGGTGTCACCTTTTGTTTAATAGTATCAAACTAGTACTAGTATGTGTGTTCGGCACTTCAAGTTCTCTGCCTTACTTTATTTTACAGTCAAGATGCCCATCGCTCGCAGGGACCATAGTTTCTCTCCAGTTTCCCTGCGGTTACTTACACTGCGCACGTCATTTCAAGTCTCAGGGAGGGCGCAAAAAACACTGGAACACCTCACACTCAATATTCAGACCAGCTCCTGCTACCACCAGCGTCTCACACACTGCTACCACCAGCGTCTCGCACACCACTACAGTTGAAGAGCAGCCTGAAGTACTGGATGGCCACTTCTCAGCAGGTCATGACAACATCTCTGCAGGCGGGGTGACAATTTTCCTGCGGGTACATCTGACCCAAGTCAGGCACTTAATGAGCCTGACATTCCAGATAATTTGAACGCAGAATTTTTTGGGCCGGGTGATAGATTATACCGCAACTATCACCCAAAACTAAATGGTATGTTTCACAAAGTCCTTCCAGCTAGTTACAACTAACACGTATATCAATATAAGCTCGTCCTTGCGATGTGACAGGGACGATTCCTTGCAGATGGAGCGCCCCCGACACCACCTCCAATCAAGTCACCCGATGACTGGGCTCCATATCGAAATCGTGTCGAGTTCGAGACTGCAGAATTTCTGTACACGCGCAACCAAATGTCTGCCGGAGACATCAATATCTTATTGGATCTTTGGGCTGCAACCCTCCTCAAATACAACGACAAACCTCCGTTTGCGGACCACCGTGATTTGTATAAAACTATTGACGCTACGCCAGTGGGTGATGTCAAATGGCAATCCCTCAAGGTCCAGTACACTGGGGAGAAGCCCGCGAAACCAATGTACTACCCTGGATGGACCAATCTCACGATGTCTGGTACCGAGACCCCCATGAGGTTATTCAGAACATGTTGGGGAATCCGGACTACGCTACAGAGATGGATTATCGGCCCTACCGTGAGTATTTGACTGATGGCGATGAACGCCAATGGCAGGACTTCATGTCTGGTTGACTGGGCATGGAACCAAGCGGTACGTTGTCTTTCATTGTTTTCTGTCGCTACACATGCTGAAAATTTCAGTAGGAACTATTTCTGAAGATCCGGATACACTCGGCTCAACGTTTGTGCCGGTTATACTCGGAAGCGACAAGACAACAGTCTCAGTGGCGACTGGTGCCAACGATTACTATCCCTTGTATGTATCAATCGGGAACATTCGTAATAATGTCCGACGTGCACATCGTGATGCCGTTGCCATTATTGGCTTCCTCGCTATGCCAAAAAGTATGTTTCACACTACTACTATTGTTCTGCGCTAATCACAGTCAAGCAGCTACAGAGGAGCACGCAAAAGACTCAAAATTTCGGAAATTCCATCGGCAACTGTTTCATTCGTCTGTCGCCAAGATTCTCGAGAACTTAAGGCCTGGTATGACCACACCAGAGGTTGTACGCTTCGGTGACGGCCACTATCGGCGTGTAATTTATGGCCTTGGACCATACATTGCAGATTACGAGGAGCAGGTTCTACTAGCGTGCATAGTGCGCAATTGGTGTCCGAGGTATGTTCCTAAATTATCTCCAACATCCCTCTACCTTAATGCTACTAGGTGTATGTCACATCCTGACAGTTTAGACACGAAGTCACTGTGTCGTCGACGTGACCATACAGAAGCGTTAGTTGAAGAGGCAACCTATGGTGCTTTGTGGATGGAGTATGGGATTGTTGGTGACCTTGTTGTAAGTCTCGCGCATCTTTTCTATCGGAGTTGAGACTCAATCCTTTCTAGCCGTTCACAAACGATTTTCCACGCGGCGATATTCACGAACTTATCGCGCCGGATATCCTGCATCAACTGATTAAGGGAACCTTCAAGGATCACCTAGTCAAGTGGGTTGGACAGTATCTGCAACATGTCCATGGTACGAAAGAAGCGGAGAGAATTCAAGCTGATATAGATCGAAGGTGCGTCACTTTGTCTCGAGTTGATGATTCGAAAGCTCACATCATCAAAGAATTGCTGCGGTTGCTTCATTTGCAGGTCTCCGACGATTTCCAGAAGGTCGGGGATTCAAACAATGGACGGGCGATGATTCAAAAGCCCTCATGAAGGTTAGTTCACTATCACATTAACTAGGATATTGCAACTCGGCTAACAATAATTCAGGTCTATTTACCTGCCATCGAAGGTCACGTCCCAACAGATGTGGTGCGCACGTTTCGCGCATTTCTCGAATTTTGCTATCTCGTACGGCGCAACATCATTACAGAATCTACTTTAGGTCAAATTCAGGAGGCTCTTGACCGATTCCATCATTACAGGGAGATATTTGAATCTACGGGTGTTGTCTTCACGTTCTCTCTCCCTCGGCAACACTCTTGTTCCCACTATGTCCTCCTTATCCAACTTTTTGGTGCGCCCAATGGCCTTTGCTCCTCGATCACCGAGACGAAACACATCAAAGCTGTCAAGGAGCCATGGAGGCGCTCGAGTCGCTACAAAGCCCTTGGTCAGATGCTGGTGACAAACCAGCGCCTCGATAAGCTCGCAGCAGCACGCATTGATTTCAAGAACCGCGGAATGTTAAACGGCACCTGTCTGTCTGCCACACTCAAGGCATTAAGTAAGTTTTATAACAAGTTACATCTTTATTGTTGGCTTAAATTTACACTAGAGCGTTTGCGCTTAAATAAGATGCCTGATGCCAGCCAACCCAACGAGAATAGCGCCACGGTGCCAGTACTCTTCAACGCTGATGTTACTATACAGGGTGATAACGAAGAGGGCGAAATTGACAATGGCCCAACACTGGTGCAGGCCCATGTCCAGTTGGCAAAGACCCCTCGTAAGCTATCTCATATTTTACAGTGAACACTCTTCTAATAGAATCGCAGAACGCAAACGCGCACACACTATACCCGAGCTATCCACGGAACTCTCTATCCCCAATCTCTACAATGTCCTCCGCCGCTTCCTATTCGAACAAGTGTACCCAGACGACCAGCACCCTCCCTCTGAAATCCCGCTTTCGAGATGTCCTCGATTTGATGGGAACATCCAAGTCTTTAATTCTGCATCTTCGACATTCTATGCGCCCAGCGACCGCAGTGGAATTGGCGGTATGCGCCGTGAGCATATTCGTGCCTGTCCTATTTGGAGAAACGAGGCGCCCCGGTATGACTGTGTGTTTGTTAACACAGATGCAAGTGTTGAAGGGATGGTGGGCATGGATATAGCGCGCGTAATGTGTTTTTTTTCTTTCACATTCAATGCAGTTTCGTATCCATGTGCCGTTGTGCGCTGGTTTGACAAAGCCAGCGACGGACCCGACCAGGACACTGGGATGTGGATTGTGACACCTTCGTTTGATACTGACCATTCTTTTTCTGTTGGAATCATCCATATTGATTCTATTTACCGTGCCGCACACCTCATTCCAGTCTATGGAGCACAGATCATTTCACGCGACATCAAGCACCATGACTCATATGATGCTTTTCGAGCATTCTATCTGAACAAGTTCGCAGACCATCATGCTTTTGAGGTCGCATCCTAGGTGTTTTGGTCTTCTCGCTCTTGTAAGTTCATTCTGTCCGCTACTCGCATATGTGGTCTAATTACTGCGTCATCAAGTTTGCAGAGGCTAAGCCATGGCGCGTCAGACAGGCTATCATAGAATATATCCCCCTTCTCAACTCTACTTCGACAACGACATGAAAACACGCGTCTCGTCACTTCTTGTGCCGCCCCCTCCGAGTCAATATGACCACGGCTCTGCTGTTGCGAGTACAGGTGATGGGGTCATCATCTGCGTGATCTGGGCGACTTTTCAGCAAGCACTTCAGATCTAGGATGAGCTTGAGCGGAGTGCTTAGACGACGAGTTTGGTGAGCGCAACTTCTGCCATTAGGTGAGTCTCCATAGTGCTTATTGCAATGCTCAGACCTAACTCCATCATTGAGTTTGCAGAGGCTAAGTCATGGCGCGTCAGACAGGCTATCATAGAATATATCCCCCTTCTCAACTCTATTTCAACAACGATATGAAAACACGTGTCTCGTCACTCTCGTGCTGTCCCCTCCGAGTCAGGATGACTATGGCTCTGCTGTTGCGGGTACAGGTGATGAGGTCATCATTTGAGGTGACGAAATCTGCATCTGCGTGGTCTGCGGTCATTAGTTTCAGCAAGCGCTGACGGGTGACTTGGACTTGGACTTAGTAGTAGTACTGGTAGTACTACGTGTACCCCACTTATTGCGCTTACAAAACTTTTTCTGCTTTTTGAGCTTTTTTGAATGGTGCCAACTTGTGAACTCTGAATTTGCTTTCCAGAAAGTGCATTAAGTCGGAAAAGTAACACTCCGAGAGAATTTAAGAGACAAAAAGTGAGATAAGTAAGCGGTGGTTTTCCTGATGTGCAAGAAGATCTCTTTCACAGTAGTCCATTGTACATTTCACTGAATCAATCTAAGTTATGTTCATGCTCTCTACCTCATTCAATGTGCTCTCTGCTTCATCAAGGCTTTCATCTTTCTTCCCAAATGGTTCGAGCCCAAACCCCACCCATTCACAGTAAAAATTGCAGATGTGCTTACTTTCAAACTCGCTGACAACCGCCTCGATATTCCCATCACCAAAAATATCACTCCCATCACTAACAGACCTATTGAAATATATTGAGTTGAGTCTTTGTCATTGAAATAAATGAAAAATACATACGGGTGGGTCAGGATCTGAGGGTTTGTTAACAGTGCCGTGCTCCCTAAACATACCATGTCAAATCAAGTGGAGCAAAGTCATGGATGAGATGTACATACCTTGATAATTGGATATGAATGCTAATTTCCCGGTCTTAACATATTGCACATGTTGTGAAAACAAAAAACTCCACCAAGTCATAGCCATAGTCCAATGGAGTTACTTGAACGAGGAACAGGATAAGTTGAGAGTGTCCCTACATGAAGCTTAAGTGAGGTACATACCAGTGGACAAGGCTCCCAAGTGTTCTAAGTTTGGCCAGTGAACACTGAAAAGGCATAGATAGAGAATCATTGTCATCAGGAAATTGGGGAGAACATTATTTTGTAGATAGGGTTGACAAAATTAGACCAAAATTTTATCATATTGTGTGCAGTTATATGATAATATAAAATGATGTACAGGCATGAGCAGTGACAGGATAAGGTATTATAAGAAGGTCACAACTCTGACAGAAATGTGTATTAACTCCTCAGTACGGTCATCATAAGACAAGATGATATATAAACTTTAGCAGAATGGCATGACAAGATAAGGTATTATAAGAAGGTTGCAACTCTGACAGAAATGTGTAGTAATTCCTCATTATGATCATATGACAAGATAATATACAAATTTTAGCAGAATGGTATGACAGGATAAGGTATTGTAAGAAGGTTGCCATTCTGACAGAAATGTGTATTAATTACTCAGTACAGTTTCATATGACAAGATAATATACAACTAGATAGTACTGTCCTACATAGAGTACAACTATCCATAGGACATAAATTGGATTCAAAATAAAAAAGATAATATACAAATTGTAGCAGAACACAAAATAACATCGAAGCCAGGCCATCTGCACAGGCGGTACGAATGAAACTGACGACATCCTCTGCATGTTTCCTTTCATTAATTATTAGGGTCAGCATTCATTGAGAAAGAATAAGGGCAGGCATATGGTGGGTCTGTGTCATCCCCATTGTGCGCATTGTGTGCTCAATGTCTTTTGAAACAGTCTGAAATGTGTCCTTGGTGCTGCGTGTACTGAAAGAAGTTAGTTTCCCCTCATAGTAAGTAGTTGTGGAAAGAACACGAGACAGTGCTTTGGATGCGTGTGACGCTCCATGATCTACGGACATGGGTTGTCCTAGCAATTATAAAAGCTGTGTTTGCTTCCTAATCACCACAGAGGAGCGAACAACTTCATACTGAAAGACTCCTATCAATTTGTGACATTTAGTTATTTTTATTTTTGACTTACAATGAACTCATGAACAGCGGTCAGTGTGGGCAGAAATAGGTCTGCTTTGCGCAAAGCAAGGTCAAGTAGTTGGATAGTCTGTCAAATACGGTCAAGTTCACTTCAAATGTCCATCGAAATTCTCATACCTCCTGGACTAGATGCTCAATACCTCCAGTGGTCATTTGTAGCCGATACTTGTAAAAATGATACCCATTGGACACACCTTTATGAGAGGTGTCTTTCTGATGTTCATTTGTGCCTTCATAAAAGCAGGCATTTGTTATATACTTAGACACTAAAAGTTGATAGAACATCGTGATTGTGACACTTGCCATGCAGATAGTACTGCCATGCAATCCCTGCCATTATGGTGATGCTTGTGAGCTCTGTCAGGGCAAGCATCCATTATAATTGAAGACACTAAAAGTTGATGGAGCATCATTGTTACAAGAACATCTAGACACTTGGGCTCCTACCATTTTTCTCCTAATCCTCCTCGTATCAGCCCTCGCATCATACCCTTACCCCGACCTTACCCTGGTCATCCTTGTCATCCTCGCATTCCCTTTCGCCCTCTACCTGTCGCTTCAGCAGAGCCAGTACATCTGGCCGGATCCTTTCGTTGACGAAGCATACCCATGCTCCGTTCCACCACCACCTGACTGATCCTGTGGACAGCCTTGCCCTTACCGTCTGGACGGTAACCTATGATATGATGCACGACGCATCTCCTTTGGCCTTTTCCCTTTCCTGATCTCTGACTCAGTGCGCAGTCGCACATGCGACTTATAGATAGCTCCGCAGCTGCACGATCGTGCCCCTGTGCGTTTCACTTCTTATTTCGACCTTTGACTCACTTTCTTATCCAGCACGTTCTGCCTCGCCCGTGTCTCAACGCAAACGTGCTTTCCTTTTATGGTTATACCCTTTATTGATTGCCTCACTTGGTAGTACGAGTTATCATCCACTAATACGTCTCCTGTCCTCTATATAACTCGCTACCATGTACTATATTCCCTAACTTGAATCTACTTGGTTCTTGACCTCCTACTCTCACCAGAGTGATCCTTTCTGCCTCGCCAGCAGTCTATATTCTATCTTCTTATCTGCTCTTCATGGATAAGCCTATAGTCTCGATCTTTACTCATCGACTTCGTCGATGAGCAAAGCCCCTGTTAACTAGTCGGACTTCTGTCCTTCTAATTAATGACGATCTTACGATTAACCTTCAGGTGTCATAAGCCTTGGCCGATTTAGCTTATCGTCTCGCACCCGCTTGACATAAGCTACCTGATTTGGACATAGGCGTCAAATCTTACTTGCCGAAGCCTCGCCAAGTAAGACCCCTAACCTTGGGCTAGCCCAAGGACGTCCTCGACCATTGACGACACACGCTCTGTTTGAGCGTCGCCAACAGATACCATCCAAGTCGTAACAATCATGATTGGAACACTTAACTTTCTTGCCATGCAGATACTCCTGCATAATCCCTGCCATTATGGTGATATTTGTGAATTCTGTCAGGGCAAGCATCCATTATAATTCAAGGGACTATGGCTAATAAATGGTCACAATTACAAGGC